GTGTGTGTGTGTGTGTGTGTGTGTGTGTGTGTGTGTGTGTGTGTGTGTGTGTGTGTGTGTGTGTGTGTGTGTGTGTGATGGAATGACAGCAAATTCAGATTAATAACCCAGCAAGCCCATTTGGGGCAAACTTGCATTTCACACTACAGATGGCTAGGGGGCGCCATATTTTCCACAGACAGTAGAAAGACCCTCTAACTGGGCTTCGAAACGTTGAGTTTGGGTTCTGGGTCCACGAAATTTGGCTGCAGAACCTTTGGCCCTTGGCTTAGCTGCTCTGTGGTTTTCACTTTCTTTACGTACAAAACAAAACTCAGTGTATTTTGTAAAGTTTGCAGTTTTAAGGGCTGCTAGAAGAATGAGTAAACCAGGGTGTATGAAAATGATTTATTGTGAACAAAGCACGGTACAGATGCCAAGGTCTCATTATGGTCGCGGGGGCAGGAAAGTAACTCTGGGACCCCCTGTCACCTTCTGCTCCCTCTCGCCAGCGCTGGGAAGTCTTACAAGCAAAAGCCCAACACCCTGCTCCCATCGCTCTGATGAAGTGTCCTTTCTTACCCCAGGAAGGTCGGCTCCCGCTGCTCCCCAGCCTGGACAGAGATGCTGCAGGAATGGGGAGGGGGTGGGAGCTGGGGGGTGGTCTCTTTCTTACTTTTGGAAAAGCAGCTCTTCCAGCCCCTGAACTTGTGTTGTTTCAGGGGCAGCGGAATGAAAGAAGGCATGTCCAGTAACAGCACCATGAGCATCTCGCAGGCCAGGAGGGCCGTGGAGCAGCTGAAGATGGAGGCCTGCATGGACAGGGTGAAGGTAAGCACACGGGCAAGTCAGCCTGGCCCCCCAACCAGCACGCAGCTCAGATCATTCCTCCCCTTTGCCCCGCGGTCTTGTGAGAGTCACCCTCTAGAGCACCCGGCCAACCCTGGCAGCTGTAACATTTGCAGGCGCCTGTTTGCTCTGGAGTTCTGAGTGTGCCCAAGGATTCGGGTAATGCAGAATACACAGTGTGCATGGATTCCGTCAGGAGTTGCCAAAAATAGACTCATACTCATCTCAGCTCTGTTTGGCACCGTTGTCAGGCCAATGAGCGAGAGAGTTTAACCGTGAGATCCAGCATCGTTTTCCCGCCTGATTCTGTGACTTTGAGGTTGGACCAGTGTCGGATGTTTTGATGGGGGCTGTCGGAGTGAAGTACCGAACCCTGCACTGTGCGTGTCGAACGCGCCTTTAGGGAAAGGGAGGAAGGCTGGCAGCCGTGTTCATTTCGCTGGTGAGTGTACGTCTCTTCACGCTGGGAGAGCTGACACGAGATGAAGCCACCTCTCCTCCAGATGCCACTGAGAAGCGAGGGGGAGGCCGGGTGAAGTGTGTGGCTCTGGGATGCAGCTGAGGCTCATTGACTGTAATAGATCTGACAGCAGGACACGTGAGTCCAGTGTGTCTGCGGTCCTTGGGGACCAGGGTACCCAGGCGTCTGGGATTCAAATAAGACAGACTCCCTGGGGCAGTGGGTGACACCAAAAGCCTTCTGCGGGCAGAGGGAGCAGCCCCCCCTCCCTGAGGCTCCCCCCCGCCGAGAGCTCTGGCCGGGGAGCGCCAGCACATGTCTCCATCAGGAAAGCTATCCCCTTTCCCAGGGCTTCCGGGTCCAAGCTCTCCAAGGAGGCAGTAAACATGCACAAAGTGACACGTGTGTACAAAGCAAGGAGGAAATGCAGGATGACCCGCGCTGGGTGCAAGCGGACTGGCCGCATCGTGTGCACACTGAGACCAGCTGCAAATCGGACGCCAGTCCCTGATCACCGGGTCAGAGGAGGGGCCAGAAACGGAACTGTCCTGAAAGCGGGGGTGGGGTGTGTGGAAGCGGGTCTGAGGCAGACAGTCAGCACTCTAGCGGTTCAAAGACAGGACAGACATCTGCTGAGAAGATGTGGGGAGATTCACTGTTTAGACAAACATCCCTGAGCACCTGCTCTGCCCTCAGCGCGGTCCTGGGGTGGAAACCCAAGTGGGACGTTCCCGCAGTGTTGCTCAGAGAAGTCGCCTGGGGGTCGTGAGCTGGGAGCTGGTGATGAGGTGGCACTGAGGAGAAGGGAAGGCTGGTATGAACTAGCCTGGCTCATTTTGAGCCTTTGAATCTGACAGAGGAGTTGCAGGTTGTCGCGGGAAGATGCCGGGTATGCAGGTACAGGTCGTGAAAGGGACTGGGGGTGCAGCCGAGGCGATGAGGTGAACTAAGGTTAGCAGGAGATGAATTGTCAGAAGCCAGGAGGCAGCGGGAGCTGCGGGGAAACCCAACAGAGGCAGCGAGGGGAAGAAAGCGGGTGTGGTGTGTACAGGGCCCGGGTGCCTGGAGAGGCCAGCACACCCAGCGTGGGAGACACCAGGGACAGAGCAGTTAGACCCCAACTATCCAGCCTGTGGCCAGAGGACCGGAAAGACGGTGAGCAGCGGTTCTGGCGGTGGGACGGTTGCCATACTGGGGAGTTCGACTTTGGCAGGAAGATACACGCCATGATAACAGGTGCCCACCTGTGACCATCACCTCCCCTGGGGGTCTTTGTGGGGACCACATGCCCCCACGGGGAAAGGCGCTTCAAGAGTCACTAACGGAACATGCGCAGTCTCTAAAAGGAGGAGGAGAGATCGGAAGGCAACTCAAAGTCCCGTGTGTTACTCAGACGGTATTCAAGAGATGGGCGTCCTGGTCCTGCGGTGACTGGGTTATGGAAACACGGCTCCCTGATCCCGGGAGAGGCCGCCCGAGGCATCTCAGACTCTGTGCTAATTCCAGTGACAGCACGTCAGATTTGGTTCAGAGATGGCAGAGCTTTGCCGTTGAAGAGGTGACCGGGACTGCCAGGGAGAGAGGTGGCCCTGAGGGACCACAGCCCAGCCACAGCCTCATTGTCAAGTGATTTTGGGGGGTTTTTTGCTCACATAACCTTGAACACTTATTTATTTATTTTTAAATTATGGTAAGATACACATAATGTAATTTACCATCTTAACCATTTTTTATTGAAGTTGAGTTGATTTACAATGTTGTATTCGTTTCTGGTGCGCAGCATAGTGATTCAGTTATGCATTTATATATGTGTTCTTTTCATTATAGGTTTACTGCAGGCCGTTGAGTATAGTTCCCACGCTGTACAGTAGGGCCTTGTTGTTTATCTGCTCTGTACGTGGTAGTCTGTATTAACCATTTTTAAGTGTACAAATGCAGTAGCGTTAAGTACACCCACAATATCGTGCAACTGTCACCACCATCCATTTCCAGAGCTTGTTCATTATCCCAAACAGGAACTCTGTGCATTAAAGCCCAACTCCCCATCCCTCCATCCCTCAGCCTCTGGCAGCTTCTCTTACACCTTCTGTCTCTGTGAATTTGACTATTCAAGCTATTTCATTCGTGTAAGTAGAATCATACAGTATTTGTCCCAATTTTGTGTGTGGCTTATTTCGCTTAGCATATGAAGTTTTGTCTCGTGTGGTGTGTGTCAGAATTTCATTGATTTGTTTGGCTAAATAGTATTTCATTATATGTATTTGTCCATCCAGTTTATTTGTCCATTCATCCTTTGATGAACATTTGGGTTCTTTCCAGCTTTTGGTTACTGTTAATAATGCTGCTGTTGCAGGGAGGGTACATCTCAGTGGTAGAGCACGTGCTTAGCATGCACAGGTCCTGGGTTCAATCCCCAGCACTTCTACCAAAAAAAAACAAACAAATTGTTTAAATGCATAAATAAGCCTAACTTATTTTATTTAAAAAATGTAAAATGAGGTTTGCTCATTTGGTGTGTAAAAGGAAAGTTAAGACATGATCAAACAATATTTTAGTTAGGAAATACAAAGACATATGAATTGAATTTGCAAGTGTTT